TCCCTAGTAGGGGAATATGGCTGTCTTAGGTCATTAATGTGAAGGCATGATCGAGGTTACTTGTGATCATAGAGTGATCCTTTTAAAGGCGTTAACTAATACTGCTTTTTCAAAGAATATTGTTGTGTTATGAAATTAGTAAAGAAGTTCAGTATTTCTTCTTTAAAGAGGTTTAATAAAATAGCTCTTTGAGTTGAGAAGGTGTGACAACATTGAGATCACTGCAGCTTAAAGAATCATCAGAAATGGGTGCATTTGGTGACTTGATATGAACAAGGCACTAGGCTAGACATTTTACATGTACTGTTGAATTTAATGCCCACACTCTTATGAGAAAGGAATTTATTCATATATTGCTTAAGGTTTAGATTAGGATAAGTAACTGACCTTTGACTATACAGCTTGGCCAAAGTAGCTAGCTTTTGAATTTGGGTGTGTCTGACTCCAAAGCTCTTCTTGTCTTTCCCTGTGGATTACCCCGAATGTTAGGAAGTTAGGAAGAAAATAGCCTTCATTGTTGTTTTTTGGTACCAGGGATTGAACTTGGGGCGCCTAACCTCTGAGCCACATCCCACCCCCCCCTTTAATGTTATGTTTAGAGATAGGGTCCTGCCGTATTGCTCAGTGCCTCACTAAGTTGCCGAAGCTGGCTTTGAACTCACAATCCTTCTGCCTCAGCCTCGTGAGCTGCTGAAATTACAGGCATATGCCACCGTGCCTGGCATACAGTCATTGTTTTTAAAAAGTTGATGTATGCGAAGCTTTTTGAAAGCATTTGTTGAGATCTAGTTAGTTATAATACTGGTCAGTTAATATAATTAGGGCCAATTTTGGGTAGGAAAATACATGATATTGTGCAAGGGGAACTGAAAGGCCTTTCTATTACTAATCCTCAGATACTTTCAGATACTGGAGAGTATTTGAGTATCCATAGTGCCTGAGAGACATGTCTTAGAGCACTCTATCCCATTATGACAAAAGTATAAAAATTTTTCAGAAACTAGTTTTCAATTTTGTTTTGAAATTGATAACAGGTGGTGTAAAACTTCTTTGTTTTGTAGAAACCTCTTTCACATGGTCTGGAGGAATTCTGGGGAAGTAAGATCCATTGGTCATCCCATTGTGTTCAGAAGGTGACTGTGATAACATAGCCTATTTAAAAGTTGTCATAAATCATTGACATCTTGGCATGAGACATTTGTAGTATGAATCATAGCAATTATCCAGTAACCTTTACTATTAAGAAGGAATGGAACCAAGGAAGGGTTGGACAGGGGTGTGGACTATGGAGGACTTTAGTCAAGAGTAAGCAAGGTTTAGCCACTAAACTGGTGGTTTTCCCCAAGCAGTTTTGTTTTGAGTGATTCTGTAGACAGATATTTTCCTTATCTTTAAAAACCAGTTGATGCGTGCTCTGGGGATTTGAGTAGGATGGATATGAAGACTTGGGTTTAGTACTTTAATCTGTTGATAGAAAGAGTGTGTATTTTATAAAGTCACTGTTTTCTGTTAATGACATGTTGCCTTTTGACCCATAATAGAACCGGCCTGTAAGCAAAGATAATAATGATTTCATTTTCTGAGTTATGGAAATATTTGGTCCCTTTTTAAGTTTTTGGAGTAATAAATTTGATCTCTTGACTGTTTTTGTAGCTCAGCTCTGAATTTCTATAGTCTTTCAAATAATTTTTTATTTTTAACTTGAATTTTTTTGATACCAGGGATGGAACCCAGAGGTGTGAAACAGTAAGCCACATCTCTAGCTCATTTTCTTTTTTAAATTTTGAGGTCTCCCTGAGTTGCTTACAGCCTCGCAAAGTTGCTGAGGTTGGCTTTGAACTTGAGATTCTCCTGCCTCAGCCTCTTGAGCTGCTGGAATTACAGGCATGAGCTGCTGTGCCTGTTTTAAATAATTTTTAATTGAAATTATCTACAGCAATGTATCAGAGAACTTAACATAGAATTTTTTTTTTAGCAAAAAGACGTTAACTTGGACTAAAGAATTTTTTCTTTTTAGGTTATAAGTGATATTATTAGTATTTTTACTATGATTGTGTGATATCCTGTTGCATCAAACATTTTAATTTTTTGCCTTTCACGTTATCTTTGGCAATATGCATCATTTTTCCTTTTAGAAGAATCTTTGGATTAAAATAAACTTATAATTGAATATTTGATTAGCATCCTATGCTTGAATGTTGGCATAGCTGTTTATTAGCTTTAATTAATTCATGATTTCTGTTAAAGAACAAGATATAATTTATTATGCATCTTGGTTCCCTCACTCAGTCTACAGGTTATGGAAGGAGAATGTTGATCAGAATATATCAATAAAGTGCAGTGCTTGGGGCTGCTGGACTTAGACAAGGTAGCTGTCATTTTGGTGTCTTTCCTATCAATCTAATGACTATTTTTGCACTTATGAATTCCTCCAGAACACCTGTTTTTCTGTAAGAAGAAAATGTTTGACTTTTAGTGACAGATGCAAATGATCTACATCATTTTAAAGTAAGAGATGAGGTAAAATAGGAAAAAAGAGTGCCTATGAAGTGACTAAATATATACTTTTTTGTGAAATGCCCCTCTTTTACCAAGTCAAGTATGAAAACATTTATTAGCTATTCTTTACTCTTTTAGTCAGCTCATAATTATGTTCAAGAGTAGTTTGATTCACAGGACACTGACTCTCTTGAGCAGTTGTTTATTTTACTTCAACTTTCTTGAATGAGTGAGAACAGAATATCAAATTATCATTATTAAAGTATGATTTTTTATTAGGGAAAATGGAATAAGGCAATTCTTAATTCCTTTTTCTCTAATAATTTCTCCTTGCGTCTGTTTCCTTTCTCAGATCTTTCCAAATGTGTCTGAATTCAACTGTATATGTGCAAACTTGCTTATCTTCACTTGCAGTTACTTCTAGCACCTTCTGCAGTATTTATACTAAAGCCCAGAGTTTTGTACTCATTATTTTGATCTGAAGACCTCCTTCATTCAGGATCCTGCAAAATTGGAGAAAAGGAAGGATGGTGAATGGACTTCAGTTTAACGCTTTTAAAAACTTCTTCCTTCAGAATTTCATCTGTAGCCTATAGAAGGTGCCACCTGGAAGCAGGATTATGAAGCTTAAAAATCAAATTAACCCAACAGTCATGCTCTATTCTAAGCTGTCTTGCTCTTCCAGTTGCAAAATAACTTTTTCATCTTCATTCCATTTGAACTTTTTGGCAGTTACAATTTCTTGAGAAACAGTAAATATTCTGTCTAATAATAGCCTTCATGTGTGAGAGATCACCTTGCTACAATAACGTTACTCTGGAGATATCAAAATACAGGGCAAATATAAGTAAATGAGGAAAAACATCAGTGGTCTATTGGATTGAATTTTGGTTCTTCTACCTAGCTGCTTCATGAGCTTGGTCAAGTCAGTCACCCTTTTTGAGTCTCAATTTCTGATTGTTCTCTGAAGGAGATAATATGAGAAAGTGATTTTTAACCTGCATAATTTTTTTTGAAAACAACTATGTTGACATTTTGTTACCTTTCATATACTGTATAAATGGTAATTCAAGAGAAATCAAAATTTCAGATGAAACAAATTGGTGAAACTGCAGATGAATCAGCTATTTCACAAACTCTACAAACAAATTATAAATATTTTGAACTGACATACATTTTCATAAGCTGTATCAAATTTTTCTATGACATACATACACATAAAAGAATAAATACAATGTCTGTGCATATTAATGTCATAATCACAATAATAACCACCAATGTACTTATCATCCAGCTTAAGAAAGAGAGCACGTTGCTGAGCCTGGTGGCTCACACCTCTAATCCGAGTGATTCAGGAGCCTGAAGCGGGTGGATTGAAAGTTTGAGGCTAGCCTCAACAATTTAGTAAGGCCCTAAGCAACTTAGCAAGGCCCTGTCTCAAAAATATAGAGTCTGAGGGATGTAACTCAGTGGTTAAATGCCCCTGGATTCAATCCCCACTACCAACCAACAAACAAACAAAAAACAAAACAAAAACAGAAAAAACCCGGAAAAGTCTGTGATCAGGACTCTAAATGTCTCCTATGTGCTTTGACTCCCAAATTCAAATGTGCAGTTTGGATTTCTCCCCTGAACTGCAGCCCTGTAAATCCAGCTGTATAATTTATAATTCCACCTGGATGTCTGATGGGCATTCAGGCTGCTTAACTCTGGCTTGGAACTCCAGACTCATTCCCATTCATCTGTTCCTCTGTAGTTTTATCTCATTTCACCGCAACTCTATCTTTTCTAGTTACTCAGGCTTACATCTTGGGGTTCTGATTCCTTTTTCTCTTTTCATACCCCATGTAGAAACTATCAGCAGATCTGGTTGACAGTTCATTAAAAATAAATCTAGAATCTGCCATTTCAACACTTCAACTACTAACCAAGTCCAAGATGTGACCTCTTCCCAGAGTTTTGCTAAAGCTTCCCAATTGGTATCTTTGCTTTGTTTCTCCTATAATCTATTTTAAGCACAGAATCTTGGTGGATCTTGTAAAAAGTCAATCAGATAATGTCATTCCTCCATTTAAAACACTCCAATGACTACCGTTCCCAGTCACACTGAGAAATGCCCATCATGAGAGAAATACCCGCTGTTAAGTAGTTCATCTCTTCATCTACTCTCCTCTTTCCTCATTCTCTTCTGCTCACACTGGCAACTTCCTGTTGTAGATGTGGGCTGAGCTAGTTGTTCTTTCCTGTTCCTTAGCTTTGTGTTAGAGGCTTCTGTTCTGACCCTCCTCCCTTGAGGTCAAGGCTTTCTGATCTCTTCCTTGAATACATTGTCATTAACACCCTGGCTCTAGTTTTGCCAAGTCAGCCATTCATTAAAAATACTGTGTTTTGCTCAACATTTTAGATCCTTCTTTTTGTCAGAATTGAAAGTCTGGTGAATTGTTATCAATTAGTGAATTAGATTGATTTCTCTGAATAATTTTGTTTTTCTTATATTAAAGGATGGAAGACTTCAGACAGGGGACCACATCTTGAAGATTGGTGGCACGAATGTGCAGGGAATGACAAGTGAGCAAGTTGCCCAAGTGCTGAGGAACTGTGGGAATTCAGTCAGGATGCTTGTGGCTAGAGACCCATTTGGCGAAATTTCAGAAATGCCTCCTACTCCTGTGGCTTTGCCGGTTGCCCTGCCTGCTTCTGTTGCCAACACTAGCCCTTCCTCTGTGAGTGCTCTAATACTTCTTAAATCAGGCATGAGGTATGAGACAATGAAAGATAAGAAATCCTTTCTACTCACAGTGCCACATGGGCACGAGTAGCAGCATCTCATTGTTCAGAGTGAAGCAGAGGAGACCCCAATTTGGAGACAACCATATATACCTGATTTTCTTTTTTGCTGTTTTTAGGATTAAGTCATTTAGTTTCCTTGAGCCTCAGCTACTGATTTGTAAATTGGAAAATTTTAAATTTTCCAAATTTCGATTTTATTAGATTGGTGGGTAGACATCTAGATGATGGAAGGGAAGCTATAAATACTGATCATTGTACGTATGAGAAGTATCACTAATAGAAACACACTGGCCACAGGGAATTAGATACTAATAATAATGTTTATTATATTTGTTAACAAGTAGTTTTTATAGTTATAAAATAATAATGATAGTTATTAGTCAATGTCTAGGTGCTTCATGATGAAATCTTCACAGTACTTCTACAAGTTAGGTCTTATCCATTAATAGATGAGAAAACTAAAGAACTTATTGAAGGCATTATAGAGAGTAAATCTACAAAAGCTGGAATTATTTGAATACAGATCCTTTTATTTCATTCCAAGGTTTTCCTTACTGTATCTCACAGACTCTGAATGAATAAGGCAAAAGCAAAGAAATAACTTTAAAAAGGAGGTGCGAGGAGGAGGAGGAGAGAAAAGAGAAGTGACTCTGAGGGTGGAAGGCCACTGTGAGATGTCACTCAGGGTCTTCTGGGAAGTTGTTTGTCTTTTTCTACTTGGAACCATAGGAATGAAACTTTTAAAATCTATAATATTAGAGCTTTAATTTAAAAAAAAAATTCTCCAAATTGTGGTTATAACCATGACTTTTCTCTCCATTACTCTAGCTACCTAGTCTTTTTCTTTAGTGAAGGACCAGTGAAGTTGTGTGATAAATGAGAATTCGAGCCAATCAATTATTTACTCCCCCTCCTTTTCTGGTGGTGGGACTTGAACCCAGGACCTCACATGTGCTAGGCAGGCAGTCTACCACTAAATTATATCTCCAGCCCTCAGTACTTGACTTTCTAATATTCCTATTTTGAATTGAAAGCAAAGTGTTATATGTTTAGATACCTTCTTTACAGAAATGTTTTTATTAATGAGAAGTATTAAAAGCAAATTTGCTGGTGACACATGCCTGTAATCCCAGTCGCACAGGAAGCTGAGGCAGGAGAATCAAAAGTTCAAAGCCAGCCTCAGCAACTTAGTGAGGCCTTAATCAAGTTGGTGAGACACTGTCTCAGAATTTAAAAAATAAAGTAAAAAGTCCTGGATATGTGGCTTAGTGGTTAAGTGCCCCTGGGTTCAATTCCTGCTTCCCCTACCTCCCCACAAAAATGTTTAGGGTCAGTATTTTCAATATTACTGAGGTTTTTCTAAGTGAATGTTAGTTTTCTAGTGTATAACAGATTACTACACATTTAGCAGCTTAAAACATTACCCTTCGTTTGTTCACATTTCTGTAGGTCAGAATTCAGGGTGGGCTTGGCTAGGCTGTCTGCTTAGATTCTTTCCTTACAAGGCCAAGATCAAGGTGTTGACCTGGCTGGACTCTTTCCTGGACATCCTTGGAACAATCCACTTTTAAGTGCATTCAGATTATTGGCAGAATACAGCTCCGTGCAGCTGGGGGACTGAGGTCTCCTTTTCTTAGGTAGCTATCAGCCAGAACATCTTTCAGCTCCTTAAGCTCCCCACCCCCAGTTCCTTCTTATATGACCCCTTCCATCTTCAAACCACGAGTTGAGTTCTTATGTTTCAAATCTTTTCTTTAATATATTTATTTTTTAGTTTTCAGTGGACACAACATTTTATTTTATTTTTACGTGGTGCTGAGGATCTAACCCAGCGCCCCACGCATGCCAGGTGAGCACCCTACCACTTGAGCCATATCCCCAGACCTCAAATCTTTTTCTCTTTCTGCTACCAGTGGAAGAAAGCACTTCTTTTAAAGGGCTTTTGTGATTAGATTAGGCCCACTTGGTAATCTCCCTTTTGCCATGTAATGTAACATAAACATGGGGGTACCTCCAGGGACTGAATGTCACAGGAACCATCTTACAAAGCAGCTTGTCACAGAAAAAACTTGGCAAATCTTGCACAAATTGAGTGTGTCCACACAGTCATATACTAAACATATATAATTTATTTCCTCTTAGGACAATTCTTCTCTTTTTGAAACTTACAATGTTGAACTCATTAAAAAAGATGGACAGAGTCTTGGTATTAGAATTGTTGGCTATGTTGGAACATCACATACAGGTAAATGAATCATTTCTATTTTATATTTGGAAATAATTGTGAAGGAAGTAAAGGTTTCCAGACACTAAAATTAAGTGCCTGCACGTTTTAATTTAAACCTTGAACAATAAAACCATGAATCTGTAATAGCAGGCAGTTACTTTTCAGTGATCAGAGAATCACATTTTTATCTCAGTAGTTTAATAACTGGTTTGATAGTCATTAACAAAGAATTTAATTGTCCAATTCAGTATATAACAGGTGAAGTGAACCTCCTTGTGTTCTAAAATAGATATATTTTAAATATTGTAATATTTAACAATATCTTAAGGTATTATGTCTGATAAATACTGCATATATTGCATATTGTGAAAAATATTACTTATGTTTAATTGCTAAAGAAACACAAAAGTATTTTGTTAGAATTATTTTCATTTTACATAAAGGAAATACATTTATGCATTGTGAGGATAAATACATGGCTCAAGTATCTCTGAATAATGACGTTCTCTCAACTTTGACCTATAAAGTTAACTTTGGTAATTTTAACTGTAAGAGTTTTTCTTTTATTACGAGAGAATTATTAAAGTAAGAAAAAAGTAAATATTTCGAAAATATCGATGGGTTACATGAGAATTTAGTTCAAATTTTTTTTTGTTTTTCTGAAAAAATAGCAAGATTAGAGAGGTAATTTCTTTTTAAAAAAATTGTTATTTTGCATACTTACAGCAGGTGAGAAAGATTAAGTGTGCTAATGTATTCAAAGTCCTGAATGAAATTCATGTCAGACCACCTTGTGCTATTTCAGCCTAATGAAATGCCTTTTTTTCAAACCTTTAGATTTTTCTAACTGCCACCTTTTTAGATTCAGAATTTAAATAAGTTCCAAAAGAGCTAAGTCTGGGTTTTATAATAATGTTGCAAGAATACCGTATTGAGTAGTTGTCAATATGATAAGCCTGGTTAAGAAATCATAGTTTAGTTTCTAAACTTATGGCTTAGATTGTAAATAAAAGTGAGTGACTGATAGAAATTGAGGAAAACTGATGTTTATGTTATTGAATAAGGAAAATAATCATTTTACTACTTTACCATCAAAAGAAGTTTTTGAAATTGTGTGTTTTGGGGAAGGTGGGCAGGTGAATCAAAAGAACTAGACCATTTAAAACTCATCATGCTTTTCATGCAGGTAATCTTAAAAAATAAGTTTTACTGTATTCTATTTATTGGACTTTTTAGGCAACCCTTGTTTAGTTCTATAGGGTAGTCCTGAAGTCCCAGCCACTTCAGAGGTGGAAGCAGTGAGATCACTTGACCAGGAGTTTGAGAACAACCTAGACAAGGTAGTGAGACTCTGTCTCAAATAAAAAAATAAAATAAAACTTTAAATGTTTGAGGATAACTGAAATGTATGTTTTAGTAGAGATATGAGCAAATTGTCATGGTATAGCAGATGAAAGATTCAGTTTGATGAAGGGAAATGGAGAATTCACAAAGAAAGAGGTATTTGAGCTAGGAGTTAAAAAGGAAGATTTTGATGAAAGGGATGAGGTTGACAGGATGGAAAAATTAAATGAGAGAAAATATAAAATTATGACAGAACTTAGTTTTTGATGGAATGTCAGAATCTGGTGTGTGTAGACATTTTTTTTAAAGGGATATAGTAGAGATGACATCGAAAAATAAGTTTATCAGGAGGTCCTTGAATGTAATTCTGTGAAATTCATATATTAGTAGGCAGTGGGAATCTGTTAGAGTCTATAAACAAGTCTGGATGGTGCCTGGCATTTTGCCAGAGGGAGTGGTTTGTGAAGTAATGCCAGCGAGCCATTAAGTGTGGAGATTCCTTATTGGTTGACTGCTGTATCGAGTTTATTTAATTAAGATAAGCTGTTTGGAATGTATAAATACCTCTGTTGTCCTACAATAAACGGCTCCCACTCCTGCTGTATCAATGTACACAAGTTGTTCGTCACCCCCTGGTTATTTTGCTGCAGCCGGACTGCGGCAGGAATCCACAGATGTGTTTTTTTCTTCAATAAGCAATGTTTTGAGTTCATTTGAAAATTAATAAATAAATACAAAATTAGTCCAAGCCATGTTTTTTTTTTTTTTTTCCTAGTTTCCCTTCTTTTTATCTAGCCTTTGTTTTATTTTATGGTATAAGGATTATTTCATGTTCTGAGCTCATTCTGGTTTGGTTTCGTAAAGAGCATGAGTACTTTTCTTTCTTCTGTGTTTGGATAGCTTACATGAGCAATGAACCAACTAAGCATAGGCAGGAAGACCTGTTAGGAGACCATTGTCACAGTGTTGGTGAAAAATGATGATGCCTCATGCCAAGTCAGCAGTGAGAATGGAGATGGACCAAGGCTTACCCTGGGCTCTCCTGAATTCCAGCTTAGACTCAAGCGCATTTCATCAAGGTTCCATTACTGATTATTTTTCCAGAAGAGTAGTCATCAGTCAAATCATTTTGAATTCGGGTCACTTGTGATGGTGACAGTTTGAAATAATCCATCAATTTCTCTGCTTGTGTTCAAAATAGTATTTATCAAACCTCCAGTCAGCCTCTTCAGCTAATTAACCTCTTGATGTGAATTTTGCAATCAAGGCCTAATTAGAGCTTTCTTCTTTTTCCATATGGCTGTGTACCTTCAGGGGAAGCTTCAGGGATTTATGTGAAAAGTATAATACCTGGCAGTGCTGCATACTACAATGGCCAAATCCAAGAGAATGACAAAATAGTTGCTGTAAGTAACTGACCTCTTATTTAGATTCGAATCAAGTTGAAAAAAATGTTGATCTTTATATCTTTGAGAGAATGACTTAATCTAGTTTCCTAAGGTTTTAAAAAAATGAAGTTTACTAGTACAGTGAAGTCTTATTAACTTGACCTCTTATGGCCTTAAATTTAACTTTTTTTCCCACAGCCAGTAAAAACACAATTCACTAACCATATTGATAGGAGAGAATCACACAAATGTTTGGATGTATGCTTGTGAGTAGTCAGAATATTTGAAAGATGTTTTAGCATTATCCTAGGAAATGCTTTTCAAGTATTTCTGTGTTTTTAAAAATTACTCATTTTATATACAATTAATAGGCCACTAGCCAGCTCTTTTCATCTTTTTGTGAAACTAGTTTTGCTACTAACAGTAATTTTGAGTACACCCAAAATTAAAATTTTTATATATTTGAGAATATAACCTTTTACTAAAATTTCTTTCTCCATTTAATAGGAAATAAATTGTCAATATATATTTTTCGTATTTGTACACATACACACACCGGCACACACACACAGTGATTTACATGGAAACAAATGCTGGAAGGTATGATTTGAATTTTTGTCTTCAGTCCATCTAAGGAAGCACCTTTTCTGGCTCTTGGCTTTTACATTAATGGGCTTTGGAAGTGTCTTGGTGATTTCCAGAGTCTGGAGGCCGGCAGTAGCAGATGCTTTGAGAAAATACGAGGATAAATAAGTAAAGGTTTGGCCAAGGTGCAGAACATTGAAAGAGAAGGCCTCATGGTCCTGATGAACTTCAGAATTGTGGAGTTGGGCTTGACTTTGATGAAGAATACCATTTTTGCATATACTTTTTCAGAACATTAGAAGACCTAATGGAGGGACATCAGTGTGTTTCTTTGGGAAATATTACAGTGATAACATAGAAAGATGAAGTATTAGATAATGTCTTTGATTTTGATAATAATGACTTTTATTAACACATCTTGAGCTATGTGTAACAACTGACCATCCTTTATGGAATTTTGAATTTTGAATAATGTCAGAGAATAAAACCCTCTACCTCTCAGGCTATTAGTTAAAATGTGTGATTTAGGAGTACAAATTTGAATTTGCTTTTTAGTGTGTGTAAAAGTTTGTCAGCCTGTTTTACTTCTTTATTCAAAAGTACTTTTAAGGTTTAGTATAAATTAGGATAACATGAATTGCTTTGTATTATTCAACTTTGCCAGGATTAAAAATAGCAGCTAATTTGAAACCTCTGTTTAATCAGTCCATTAATGTTTTAGGTTGATGGTGTAAATATTCAGGGTTTTGCAAATCACGACGTTGTTGAAGTGTTACGAAATGCAGGGCAGTTGGTACACCTAACCCTAGTTCGCAGGAAAGCGCCATCATCTGCTTCTCTCCTGGAACGGCCTGCAGACAGAGGTAAATAATGTTGGCATCCCTCATTCCTCATGGAGTATAGGTTTGAAGAATAGCAAAGTTATGGAAATTTTTCTGTGAGTTCGAGTAGGAAAAATTGTCCACTTTGAGTAATGCAGTGATGGAGAAATGAATCAGCTTGTTTGTACCTTGAAGAAGTGGTTTATGTGCTTATTATAATGTGTCAATCCAAATATTAGGACACAAATCTTGATATGCACTAAGCTCTTTGAGCTTCTTTAAAATAGAGATGGGAATCCAAAGAGCTTCTAAATTTCATTTACTGTTTGTATTTGAAAAATAAAGCTTTGACACTCTTTATCAAAATTAAACAGGGAGCCACTCAACTTGTCTAATACTTTGACATTTTACAAACTTCAGGTTTTTTTATTATTTTTATTTTTCCTTTTTTCTCCTCCTCCTCCTCCTCCTGCTTTTCCTCCCTCCCTCTCTTCCTTCCTTCCTTCCTTTCCTCTTTTTTCCCTTCCTCCCCACCCCATTACTGGGAATTGAACCCAAGGGGACTTTAACCACTGAGTCACATCTCCAGCCCTTTTTATTTTTTATTTTGAGTCCAGGTTTTGCTGAATTACTCAGGCTGCCCTAGAATTCCTGATCCTCCTGACAGCCTCTGAGTCCCTGTGATTATAAGCATGTGTTACTGTGCCTGGTCACCACTGTTTTCCTCTAAATTGCTATGCTTCATATACCTTCAATATGCATTCCTATACCTATTTGTTTACTCCTAGAGGCATACAATCATACTACTTTGTATTGTAAAATTTGGTGGTGTATAACACTTTTCCCCAGCTATACTAGCAGCTCTGATTGGCATTTTTAAAGAAAAATTGTGGTAACAAACACTTAGCATTAAATTCACCCTCCGAACAAATTTTTAATTATACAGGACAGTATTGTTAACTCTATTGCACATTGTGTGCAGGAGATCTTCAGAACTTTTCTGTCACATAATCAAAACTGCATACCCATTAAATAAATCCCTGTTTCTCCCTCTTCAGTCCTTGGCAACCACCATTCTGTTTTCCATTTCTATAACTTTGCTTAGCTACCTCACATAAGCAAGAAGAATCCTGTGGCATTTGTTCTTCTACCATGGGCTCATTTCACCATTTCACTTTGTGTAATGTCATCAAGTTTCACCATGCTATATGCAGCATGTGACAGAATTGCTTTCTTTTTTTTCAAAATTTTTTTGTAGTTGTAGATGGACAGAATGCCTTTATTTGTGGTGCTGAGGATCAAATCCAATGCCTCACACATGCTAGGCGAGCACTCTGCCACTGAGCTACAGCCCCAGCCCAATTACTTTTTTAAGACTGAATAATGTTCCATTGTTTGTACTACATTTTTAAATGTATTTATTCTTTTTTAAAATAGTCATTTAAATTTTTTTTTCTAATTTGTTATATATGACAGCAGAATGCATTACAATTCATATTACACATATAGAGCACAATTTTTCATACCTATGTATTTATTTTTAATGTACACTTATGTTATTTATACCTGGTGGTTACTGTGAATAATGTTGCAATGAATGGTTGGCATTTTTTTTTTTTTTTGTACCAGGAATTGAACCCAGGGGCACTCAACAACTGAGTCACATCCCCAACCCTTTTTTGTATTTAATTGAGAGACAGGGTCTCCCTGAGTTGCTTAGGGCCTTGCACTCCTTCCCGGCCTCCAGAGCCACTGGGATTATGGGCGTGTGCCACCGTACCCGGCTGGCATTTCTTATTCTAGTAGTTGGCTGTGCATTTGTGGATATGAATGGATTCATTATCTAAAAAATAAAATATAGTGCTTAAAGTTTCATGTTAAGATCATAGAAACTTTTTTTTAAGAGGGGGGAGAGAGAGAGAGAGATTTTTAATATTTATTTTTCAGTTTTCAGTGGACACATCATTATTTTTATGTGGTGCTGAGGATCGAACCCAGCGCCCCCCCTCAGCACATGCCAGGCGAGCGTGCTACCGCTTGAGCCACATCCCCAGCCCCTCATAGGAACTTTTAACTGGCTATATTTTTTAACTTTTTATTGTTAAAAAAATTTTAAACAAACAGAAAAATAATAATATAATGAGTTTCATAGAACACACTATTTAGATCCATGGTTACTGTTTTGTCGTATTTCTTTATCTAGTTACCTTTTTTACGCTGAACCATATCAGTGTGAGTTGTAGACATGATGACACTTTATAAACTTTAGTCTATCTTATAAAAATAAGGACATTTTCTTATATATTTTTATCACACTAAAGGAAATTAATAGTAATTCCTAATATCAAATACTCAATATGTGCTTGAAATTCCAAATTTCCTGAAACTGTGTTTTACACTTTCATTTTCTACTCCTTCCCAACTCCAGTTTCCCAAAAAACTGCCACAAACCAAGGCTCAGTCATGCATTGTATTCATTGCATCTGTCATTTTTTTTTTTTTGGGGGGGGGGGGCGGTCATTAATCTAGAAGAATTCACCTCCACCCCCATAGCCTAACCTTTTATTAAAATTAAAAAAAATAGTGCATTAGTTATGCATAATAGTGGGGTTTGTTTTGACATATTTAGAAATGCATATAATAGTTTTCTCCATTTCAGTCTCCAGTACTATTTCCTTCCCTCCCCTCTTCTCTGGCATAGACCTGTTGAAGGGATTAGTCCACATGTCATTAGAATGCCACATTCTGAATTTGTTTCCTTGTGGTGTTATTTAATTTGTTCTACCTGTGTTTCCTTTGAGTTAGGAGTTACATAGTTAAGGAACTACGACTCCAGTTAGAATGGCAAACCATCAAGATTACAAACAATAATAAGGGCTGGAAAGGATGTGGGAGGGAAAAAACACTTTTTTAAAACTCTTGGTGGGATTTATAAATTACTATAACCACTATGGAAAATCAGCATGGTGGCTTCTCAAAAGATTAAGCATGGAACCACACATGACCTAGCTATACCACTCCTTGGTATTTATCCTGAAGAATTGTAGAGATACATGCATACCCAAGCTAATAGCGCAATTCACAATAGCCAAAGCATGAAACCAGTCTAGGTGTCCATCAGTGGGTGAATGGATGAAGAAAATGTGATATCTAAACACATGGAATTTTATTAGCCACAAAGAAGAATAAATTTATATCATTTGAAGGAAAATGGAACTTGAGACTGTTACGTTAAATGAAATAAGCTAAGCTCAGAAAGTCAAGGGTTGTATTTTCTCTCATGGAAGTTAGAGAAAATGAAAAAAAAAATGGAGCGGGGGTGATTCTCATGAAAATAGAAGGGAGACCACCAGTAGAGGAGAGGAGAGAGACCAGGGGAAGGAAAAGGGGAGATACTAGGGACTATATTGACCAAATTATATTTTATATTGTATTATTTATAAATATGTAATAATGAATCTGTTACGTATAATTTTATTATACCAGTAAAATACTTGGAAGAAAAAAAGAGCTAGCTTTGTGCAGTAACAATATCATAGCCAATGAGATTTACCCTCAGCAAGATTATTGCAAATTGAAATCAAAACTACTCTGAGATTGCCTCTCACTCCAGTTATAATGGCAAGCCATCAAGATTACAAACAATAGTAAGTGCTAGAGAAGATGTGGGAGAAAAAAACCACTTTTTTACTCTTGGTGAGATTTGTAAATTAGTACAACCACTATGGAAAAAAAAAATATTTTTCCCAATATCCCACCATGACAATTTGAAATATAGTCAGCATTGGCAATGTTTGACAGCTCTATGGAACAAATGAAGAAGAAGTTAGGTCAGAATGATATTCAGGCTAAACATTTTAATAAGAATACTTTATAAATAATGTACAGTTCTTTTCAAAATAAACTATTATGAAACTTGTTCAACTTTTCTTATATTTGAGAGACATAGTGACTTTCTGATGACTTTGGATTGCTCCTAGTACTTTACTTAGCTGAGTAAAGAGAGAGGAATGGTCTGCACCCAGGGGAATTCCCTCCCAGTCCCTTGCAGTTAATAAATCTGTTATACATATGGTGGTTACATGCTAGAACCTAGTGGAGCCCAGAGTAATTGGTTTAGCTTATTATGCATATCTTTTTTCCTACCTACCACAACAGCAAGAGCATCAGGCCTTGACATTTCTCCTATTCTAAAGCTGTATTGAAGATCATCTGCCCTTGCTTTGTCATGGACTTCACCTTTCTTTTCTTTTACGTTGCTTCATTCCTTTTTCTTTTAATACTATCAACAAGTTTACTTTTGGAATCTCTTGATTATTACACATGGCATTTTAGGTTAAAGAAATTAAAGGTATAAGTTACCTGAGATGGCCTTAATGAAGTTTTGAAAAGGGAGAATAGGAGTGACCTATGTTTACTTAAATATGCATCTCAGCTACTGGCGATTCAAGTCTCTGTTCTTGTTTTAGGAACTGTTGTAGAACCACCCAAATCACCAGCTCTCTTTATAACTGGAGCAGTGGAAACAGAAACTAATTTGGATGCAGAAGATGAGGAAATTGAAGAAAGAATGGATAATCAAAAAAAGGACAGTATACAAGCCTTAGAAAAATTGGGTAGGTCCAAAGCATTTATTTCAGAGCACTTTGACTTTTTCATTTGTTAACCACTTCCTCTCTTTATAGTTCATCTGAGTAATCATAGACATTTTGAAGATTTAAAATGGGGTATTCATATCAAAATCTTAATGTTTGTGGCAGTAGGGGACCAAGCATGTTCTTGTTTAATCTGTTAATTCCATTAATTTTGAGTGCGTATTTGTTAGTATGTAATGACTGTTTTTTATCTTGTTCTTAGCATTTTTAATTATTGCGTACTTTAGCTTGTATATTAGCATTGATGAATATTCCTAGATTATAGCTATCTATACATGTAGCAGTGTTTCCCTTTCACCATAAAAATTAATAATGTGTAAATGTATATATATTTTAATATTTTTTTAGTTGTCAGTGGAACTGTATTTTATTTATTTATATGCAGTGCTGAGAATCGAACCCAGTGCCTCACATGTGCTAGGCAAGTCCTCTACCATTGAGCCACAATCCCAGTCAATAATGTATATATTTTTATATTGCATCAAAGTTCCAGGATGCTATATATTTACTTGTTGATTTTCCTTTTAATTGCTCTGCACTTCTTCCTTTGGCTTTGTACTTTGATACGTCAGCTATGACAGTCGACAATATTCTGCATAGATATGGAGTCACAGCTTCATCCAGTTTCCCACACACAGATGCTCAGGAAAAGCCTTGTCAACTGAGTGAAGCACCTTGGAACACTTATCACTATCCATTTTCCAGAGACATTTTAGCTTTGTCTTGCCTCATGAAAGAATGGCCTCAAGGAGGGAGTTAGCCCCTCATTTAAGTTAAAAAAAAAAAAAGTTCCTGATTTGAAAACCTACCTTTCTTATTTTTGACCTAGGTAAATAGTAGTTAATCCTTGCTATTTTAATTCAGTTGAGCTCAGATTATTTTTAGTGAGATGTCAGGTGAAAGTAAAATACATTCTGAAGTTAGAAATAAATAAACAAATAAACAAACAGATTTACATATTTGGTATTGGGTCTGAACCCAGGGATGCTTTACCATTAAGTTATACTCATAGTTCATTTTATTTTCCATTTTAAGACAGGGTCTCATTAAGTTGCTGAGGCTGGCCTTGAACTTGTGATCATTCTACCTCAGCCTCTTGAGTCTCTTGAATTTCCAGCTTAGGCCATCACACTGGCTAGATGTATTTTATATGTGCTTTATTTTTTTTTGGTTTGGTACTAGGGATTGAACTCAGGGTGTGGGTGCTTAACCACTGAACCACATCACCAACCCTATTTAGTTTTTTTTTTGAGACAGTCTTGCTAAGTTGCTTAAGGCCTCTCTAAGTTGCTGAGGCTGGCTTTGAATTTGCGATTTTCCTACTTTGACCTTTTAAGTTGCTAGAATTACAGGTGTGAGCCACTGTTCTAGGCTATTCATGCTTTTTGTATTAACTTCACTACATTTTTTTCTTCATGCATATGAACAATTTTAACTCGGTAGTAAAACTCAGATCTTCTAACTATTATAAAGTTAATTTTCTTTTTTGCTTTTGGAATAATTGTTTAAGATAGTCATGTTAATCATTTGTTTGATCATTTTGTGTAGCCTAGAATTTATTCAGCTCCTGAAAGTAAATTAATCTCTTTCCTCTGACATGTAGTCCTTCATGCTGTGCCTTATAAAGCATAACTGTGTTTTTATTATATAATTGAAAGGTGGAAAGTCAAAAAAATTATTGGTAAAATATCAACATTATTTTATATATGTGTATGAACTGTCATCTAACTATCATGTTTTTAGGCTTAGAATTCAGACAGTACATTGCAGATTTTTATTCAGATTCATTTACACATAAAAAATTAATGCCTGGAACGTAACTTATCAGGCAAGATGCTAGAACTCTCTTAAAAATTTCTAAAGAACTCCTAGAATTTCTTAAGGAAATGTTAACAGGCACACACAGACACAAATGTGCAAAGCCCAAGTGAATTTGATATCTTGTTTTTAATAGGATCTTTGGTTATTGCCTAAATGTAATCTAGCATATCAGTCAGTTAATTTAGTTATTTCATGGATGTTCTTTTGTATGTCTGTTAATTCAAGTTCTCTAGTGTTCATTAGTCTTAGACCCTGGTTTCTGAGGTTAGCCTGTTTTACTTAATGATTTGTGTTATGTGATCAAGCATCACATGCACCTGAGATGAGCTGTCTGTGCTGAAGACTGAAAGAGCTGATGCTGCATATGACGTCTGATTTTAGGCAGATGGTCATGTCAGTTGTGATAAGTGTTCTGTAACTGGTCCAAGCTTATGACCAAATTGAGAGTTTAACTTAAAGAAAGAAGGTGGAAGTTTTTTCGTTATTTGTTATTAATGTGAATATAAGTTAAAATTGTAGTTTTTGCACATGGGCTTTTTTTTCTGGTCGATGTTATTCAGACTACAAATTGCTCTGAGCATCTGGCTAAGACCACATGGAGGACAGGCAAGACACTTAAAATCTGTCTTAGCACTTTCAAATGATCTTACCGAGGCAAGAAAGGCAATATTACATCAAGCAAATCATAAAGATACACAGATCCTAATAACAGGGACAGAAGACTGGTGTCAGACCAAAGGTTGTGTTCTTTAAAACTCATACAGCTTGGAGTCAGACCAGACAAGCCTGTGTATCCATCTGCAGAGGTGGGAGCCTGCTCGTATTGTGTTGGTACACTGGATTGTAAAGATGTCTCAATGAGCTTTTATTTTTCCAGTGGGTAGGAGGAATGGCACTATTTTGGAACGATAAACCTTTAAATTAAATCCTTGTATGCCATAAACAAATAAAACAAAGCCAGATGCATTTCACTGTTAAACTATAGAATGTTTACATATAAACTCTGTATAATTCAAATTTCACTTATAACTCATCATTTCCTCTTTCCTTCAAGATATTCCTTAACAACAAAAGCCCCGTCACAATTTTGTCACAGCTGGTCTTTACATTAACATTAGTCTTATAAGTTACCTCTGATTTACTTTTCCTAGTGGACCTAAGTTAATGCATTTTTCTTTTTATTCATTTCCCCTTTACTTACTGAAACTGTGCTTTTGTTGAAGAATTTAGTAGTTAAGTGTGTTTGGCTCACAGTAGCTTTAATGTTCTTTTTTTTTTTTTTTTTTAATGTCCAGAAAGAGTCCCAAACACTCCAGAAAATGAGCTGAAATCCAGATGGGAAAACCTACTGGGCCCTGATTATGAAGTAATGGTATGTTAAAATCCTCTAATAAAAAACATTCAACGTCTCATTTCATGTCAAGCTCCTAACACTACAATTGAAAAAAATGGGAGAGCCAAATAATAACTGGCCTGCCTTAATTTTTTTTTTTTTATCCTGCTTTGTACTCTATTGGATCAATTGATTTTTTTCCCCTTTCCTTCTTTTTTAATTTTATCATTTTAAGCTATATAAAATAGTTAAGGACTGTACATAAGCTTCAGTTACGATTAGTAGACACTTAGTTCATGTTGAAATCATTTAAGTTGACAATAGGCAGAAAAATATTAGGAGAGAGAGGGCTCGCCTTTAAATACCTGGATCAGCTGCTTAAAATTGTTGGCATTTTTATGATTGCTTTTATGATCTGTTTGTTTTATTGTACACCGAAAGGGACTGTGGATATTAGTCCTATGTTTCACAAAGAATCTTACAGTTTTATGAGAAAAATGAAAGAATAATTATCAAATGTATTTAGAAGAACAGGAAGTAATTTAGGTAAGGTATAAGTTTATAGTGCCAGTGGTCCATTAGGCTTCCTTTCACCTGTTATTAGGTTCATCCAGTAAGGAATTGGTTACATTTCCCCATATGAATCCAGATGAAAGCAGAAAGTGGTGTTAGAAAAGCCCAGGCAAGGTTTACAAATGCGGTAGTAATCAAATATTATTTTAAATTTCTATTGTCATTCACATTTTCTTACATATGTTTATCATTAATACTTCCTGGAGACTCTTTTTCTCTTGGTTTTGAATATCCAGTTGCTATTGTCAGGAAATTTCCAGTGTCATTAAGATGAGTCCAAATGGTTCACACTTAAACTGCCTTTGCTAATTTTGTGCTTGTTTGTCAGTTCTCATAACTGTTGCTTCTCTACTCCACAGACTGAGAATCCTGTCATTAGCCTACCACCTAGCAAATGGCCTTTTACCCCCTATCCTTAGTAGTTTGTTATTCGAAAGAATGTGGTTTACCAGTATTCACCAATGGCCAATATTGTGATAGGCTTTTGTTTGTTAAAATTTTATCCTCCTCATAACTACCTTCCAGATTTTATTGATTCTATGGTGAAGTCATAACCGAGGGATTAAAAAGAGGAGACGGAAATTAAAGTTGGAACTTTAAAGTGACAGCTTATTCACTTGTTGGCTTCTTGTTCTGAGAAATGAGGGGCAAAAAGAGGAAGCCAGGCAAGATGGATGAATGAATGCACATAGTCTACTATTTCTTATTTTCTTCAAGGGTCTACTTATCTGAAATGTACTTTTAGAAGCTTTAGTTGGATCATTGTTTAACTTATCCCCTCCCTCCAGATGCAGCATATTTTATTAACAACTTACAGATGCAAATCGTCTATGAAGTACTTCTGCTTGCAAGGAATTTGCTTCTCTGGATGTCCACCACTGAAGCTCAGAACAATAGTTTTAGGCCAGGATTTAAAGCTTTAAGTATTCCCCACATTTCCCACAAGGGACCAGATCTTTCTGTTTGTGCCTTTGCCAGCTATTTCTCCTGGGGAAGTGACTTGAGCTTGTTATAAAAAGTCAGACTCTCTATTTTACCAAATTTGCCTGACTTTACTGACCTTGCAAATTTTAAGAACCAACTTTGAAAGTAAAAATAGCCATGCTCTTGCTTTTGTCAAAAGAGTATAATTTTTATGGATTCAATATAATGAAGGATTATATTAACATTTTAGGGATCGAGGATTTTTAAAAATGGTAGAGTCAGCTCTCTGTATCTGTTGATTACATGTTTGTAGATTCCACATTCTTTTCAACCAATTGTGGATCAAAAATATTGAAAACAATTTGCATCTGTAGTTTGTTTTCTTGTCATTTCCTAAACACATAAGAACCATTTATACAACAGTTACATTATATTATGTATTACGATTAATCTAGAGATGACTTAAAGGGTGTATGTGAGTATATTCCTAGATTATATGCAAATACTATACCATTTTATGTAAGGGACTTTGGATTTTGGTATTCTTGGAAGTCCTGGAACTAATCCCCAGCAGATAAGTGAGAGACAATTATATATATTTGCCTCTACCCTTCCTTTAACTTTTGGGTAATTTAGGAAAAAAGATTAATATTGAACAAAAATATAACAATTTTATATTAAGTTCTATACATATGTGATTTCGGAAATACAGGACAGAGGTTTTCAGATGGAGTGGTCAACATATTATAGGTTTTGCAGATGTTTTCAGAAAACCTATGAAGAAATAAATTTGTGCTTTGACAAATATGGAAATATTTTTCTTTGAAATTTAGGTTGCTACTTTGGACACACAGATTGCTGATGATGCTGAGTTACAGAAGTATTCAAAGGTAAGCACTATATTTTGAATGTTACCAGTCTCTTATAGTCGTGAAGAACCTTCTCTAAATTCTTGCTGAAGAAACTGTGTGACCTGCAGTTTCCAAAACTTAGTCATAGATGTTTTCTGGAATTGTCATGGGTTCTCATTGCTATGAAAGGTGATGGTTGGATATGCCTGGGAGAGTGAGATCCCTCAGCCACTTTTAGAAGCCATACACCCAGGTGTGACTCTCTGGCCCACCTGAGAGGTAGTACAAGTAACAGAGAATGTCAGCTTTTCAAGTATCATAAGAAGTCTTTTGAATAATGTTTCATGAAAATCAAGTCCAGGAACATAGACTTTAAAAAAGCCTCAGGTCCACATGTTCATCTTCTGAGTACAGGCAGTGGTTGTTCTTGAACTCAAAAACATATTTTGTTATCTTTATTTTTAATGGCAAAATGTGGGAAGGTAACTTTGACAGATTTTTTTTGACTCTTTTTTTTTTTTTAGTATTCTCTCACTTTATATAAATCAATTTTATAGTTTCAGATGTAGATAGTCAAGAGCCACGGCAATTAAACCTGGAGAAAACTTCCTGGTGGCTTTCTCAGCAAATGATATGCAAGGCAAGATTTTCCTGCCAGAATAGTTTCAAAAAACATTTTGTAATTCCACATGAGAGATAAAAGGTGAGCCTACCTTAAACTCTGCAGTCAGATGCAGTACTCAGCATGGATTTTTCAGGGCCCCATCTGGGTTTTCAAAGAAGTGGAGTATCTCTTTAGATAGTTCTACTGTTTCTGCCTTTGTATATTTGTGATGAATATTTTTCTTTCATAATTTTGTTACATGTGCTCTTATCTCTTTGGTTTGTATTTTCAAGGCTGACACTGGAGATTATTTCTTTCCTTCTAAGTTTTCCTATATTTTGAGCCACTTGTTATGACTGTTTTGACCAACTGACCAAGCTTTCCTTAGATGCACAATGTAAAAGCAACATGGCTCACGTTGTAGTTAGTTTTAAATTATTTGCCAAGTCATCTTTATATTAGATCAGTCATTGATTAAATAATTCCATCTAAAGATGTTCAGGGAGATTTAATTCAAAATAACAGGAAGAAATTGAATACCTCTTCAAACTTCAATTGCTCTTAATTACTATAATATGGTTGAACATTTACTTGAGTCCTGAAACCAAACTGCCTGAGTTCAAATCCTAGTCACCCAGAGTTTGATAGCTAGGTGATTTTGGAAAATTATTTAAATTCTGTATCTCAGTTGTGCATGTAAAATAGGACTATCAATAGGTTATTAATGTTATTAGTTGCTTTATGATTTGCATAAGAATGCATCTAGAATATTTGTAAGCACATAGTAGGCTGTTATTTATTTTTATGACTCTGGGGATCAAACCCAGGGCCATGTGCACACTGCAGTGTTTTACCACTTGCCCCTTGTTGGTTTTATTTTTATTCTTTTCTTTACCATAGAAATCAATTGATGTTTAGCCCTAAAATTAGTTTTTAATTTATACTAAATTCAGATATTAGAAAGTTTCTATATAACTGTCTTCTGGTTTACTGGGTTTCCTGTGCCTATTCTACTTGTAAACACCCATCTACAGAATGCTTAATTTTAGTTATTTTTCTATTTTGGATTTTCCATTTTAGAGTAAAATTTTGAAGTGAAATTCTCAATGTGAAAACAACAACAGCAACTATATTTGCCATCTTCTAGTTCTTGAACATATTAATCATAGATTCTAAGGACTTTAATTCAAATATCCAGGTGAATTTTTGATCTGTTTTCTACTGTTTGGTGTTTTCTCTTGTTATTGGTTTTTGGTTGTCTTTCTCATCATGCCATAATTTGAACGTCCAACATTATGAATGACAACTACAGATGGGTTCAGGGCTTCCGCTGATGTTAGCTTTCTCTGTCCAGAGATGTCTCACTCTATCTGTAGATAAATGTGGGGTTATTTATGCTGGTGGGCCACCCTCTCAGTGAGGAGGCAGGGGCAGTTCTGGGAGGGTTCAGACTCTTTCTGTTTTCCCTCATTTTTAGGATATTGCCTTCCAGGAATTCCAGGTCAGTGCAGGGAGTGTTACTGGTCCCCTCAACCCAGTAGGACCACCTTTCCGATCCCATCTCTTCAGCACTGTGGGGCTGCTGGAAACTTTATATTGCTTTTCATAGGTTTCCAGATTTGCTTTTCAACCTCCTGTGCCATATGGCTGTAGACTTTTGGGAGTTGTCCTTGGCCAGAAAACGTGTCCTGGATTAGGCTCAGTTCATCATATGGTACAGGTTTTGTTATCTGTTCTTTTATGCATGTTCAAAGCCATGGTGACCAATATCATCATATTTCATGATATGTGAGAAAGGACAATAAGCACACTGACTTGGTGTTCACTTCTCAAGAACGTGATTCTCTCTCTGTTCCGGCAGGAGGTATTCTTCTGTCTTGTCTTCCCTCATTGCCTACTGCTAGCCTTACTCACTGTGTCTTCTTTCCTGAGCAGCCTCTATGTAGTATACAGATTTGTATTCAGTAGTGCTGGTGTATAGGGTGGGGAGGAGATGAACAGAGCTTCAGAACCCCCTTGTGAAGTGTTCCAGTACATTCAGCTGTTCATTCATTCATTCATTCACCCACTCATCAAATAGTCTACTCTGTGTCAAGTCTTCTTCTGCGCATTTGGGATTCCAGAAGAGAACAAAGCAAGGGGGGTGGTGGTGGGGGGAATCTCTGCTTTGTGGAATTTATTTCATTGGGGGAGATCGAAAATAAATAAGTTGCTTAGTGTTGGTGACATGTGTCGTAGAGACAGGGAATTCAGGAGTGGGGTAAGTTTGCAAGGCCTCATTAAGATGACATTTGAGGAAATACTAGGTGAAATCTTGCCTAATTTTTCTTTTAAATAGTATGAATAATAATACCTGTGTTGCAGAAGATTAAATATAAATACATGTAATAATCCAAAGTACACATATGAAGACACAAATTGGTGTGAATATACTTAGTATACAACCAGAGATATGAAAAATTGTGCTCTATATGTGTAATAAGAATTGTAATGCATTCTGCTGTCATGGATAAATTTAAAAAGTTAATTAAAAAATAAAAAATAAATAAACACATGTGATATGTGCCTTAGTTAATATAGGGCAGAGATAGCACATCAGAAATGGCCAATAAATGGAGATTTTGTTTCCTAGAGTTATACCTCTAGTCCTTTTTAGACTTTTCAAAGCCCCTTTTTTTCTTTGATTCTTTCTTTATAAATATTTATTTACTTGTAGTTGAACACACAGTATCTTTATTTCTTTTTATGTGGTGCTGAGGATTGAACCCAGTGCCTCACACATGCGAGGCAAACACTTTACCACTGAGCTATAGCCTCAGCTCCCGCCCCCGCTTCTTTTAATGTGCTATTTTAAAACATCTAATTATTGAATTGAAATTTTGTTTTGGCAAAAGCTTCTCCCCCACACACGGGAAGAGAATCACCCATATTTTATTTTCTTCCTTTCATATTTCATTATTACTTGTATATATGTTTGTAGCCAGTATACTCTTCCTTTGTTTAACAGGCATATGAGAGAGAAGGGGTATATAATGTTTTCATACATTTTCCTACATTAATTTCTCAACTGAAAATGTCCGTAGAATAATTCTTCATTTTGGTAAGTCATACATACACACACACACACACACACACACACACACACACACACATTTAATTTGGTGGCGCTAGGGCTTGAACTCAGGGCCTTCTGCATGCTAGGCAGTTTGTCTACCACTAAGCTACATCCTCAGCCCTATAATTTTTCAAATCTACTTGTAATTGGAAGTTTAGGTCATAAGTCAGTAACTTCTTATTTTCTCCCTAAGTGTAGCCAATCACAACCATTTCACAGAAGAGAATGCTAAAAGTTGCACAGGTTGAATGACTAGCCCCAAATTATACAACTGTATAGCAGCAGAGAGTGGACTATTAGTGTTTTCATTTACTTCTGAAATAGTTACTGAGCTCCTACTATTTGCCAAACATTGTGCTGAGGAGTGAAACATAGTAAGACCTTGCTTGGATTCTGGGTTTGGGTAGAGACATAGTAATAGACAATTGAAAGATAACTGCATAATAAACTTATTAATGCCTTGAGATGTTCTACAAATGAATTAACAGGGTGAACAGAACATAACTGGAGAAGACCACTTTATTATTATTATTTTGTTTTTCAAAAATTTATTCTAATTTTAATTCAATTTTCTCCATGGAACATATATTGTAAGACATGATGAACAGTGGGGATGAGGAACATTGAAAATAGGTCTTATAATTCTCTGTAATTTTTGTTTTACTTTTTGCATGTATGATGTTTATTCATTTTTATTACTGAATAGTATTTTTATATTTAATTTTTAATTGACATTTGTGCTTATTTATAGTGCACAGTATTAAAACTTGATAAGTGTACATAATATGTAATGATCAAATCAGAATACTCAGTATTTCCATCTCAAGTATTATCATTTCTATGAATTGGGACCATTTAAACTCTTCTCTGTTTATTTGAAATGTGTAATAAACTGTAGGTATCCTATTGTGTAATAGTACATTGGACCGACTTCTATCCCTCTAACTGTACCCATTATCCACCCTGTCACTGTCCTCTCCCCTTCCATGCCTCTAGTGACCTCTATCCTACCTTCTCCCATGTAGTTATCTTTTTTAGGGGAGGATACTTTGGAGAGGGAGTCAGGGAAAGCTGCTTGGAAAATAAGAAAACCTTGTCTATGAAGGCAAGCCCATCACACATGAAGATGCTCCTTGAATCTTTAAGAGTGGAGGCTGCAGGGTGGCAATGATCTAAAGATAACCACCTTCAGCAGCACCAGCTACAGCCATGAAACATGAACCTCCTCACAGGGGAGTGGCAGCTTCTTGGAGCATAGGCTTGAAAGGTCAGAATGTGAAAAGCTGGGGACAGGTGAGCATCAGGTGCAGCCGCCCTGTT